AAAAGATGCACTTAAGCAATTTCCATCTATTATCTCTACTATATTCTGTCACAAGTTAGCACACCATGAAGAAATCATACAGATGTCCCATACACTGGAAAAGCAGAGACTCATCATGTGATGCCTACAACATTGTACAGAGCTAGTAAGTAGATATGTGACTTTCTGAAACCTTCCTTCTTATTGTATTATCTCCCACAATTTTAAAGGCATGCTTTCATTTTAAACTTCATTTCTGGACTAGCATACAGTATGTACCTAGGTACGTTCAGATAATAGGATAGATAATAGGATCAGGCTTTAAGAAATGCCTTTACATGAAAATACACAGCCTTTTTATCCAGATTTGTATGGCTTCCCAGTTCAGTCAATGGGAACCGCTATCGTGTATTATAAGCATTTTTTCCCTTAACACAGGCCTAATCACACACCTCCTTACTTGGGGGTTAAAAAAAGAAAATAAGGCATCACAATGGTCATGTCTGCTGAAAGATTGGCTGTATATTGAAAATAATAAAGTGTATGGTGAAATAGAAATTCAGCATGGAAATTATTTTCATTGTAATACTATTAAAATCTGTTCCCTGGAAATGCACAGAAGAATGTTTATCTTCAAAAAGCATACATTAAATAGTACACATTAGCTAGAGAAAAGAATTTTCATATACAACTCCATGATGTCACACAATAACCATAGACCAGATCCTCCTTGGAGGTTATCATACAAATGTACAGACATCACACCCACACCTGAAGGATGCACCTTCTCTGAAGAGGTGTTCTGTTGATCCACGGCATCTTTTCTGCAGTTGCAAACCTGACCATGTCCTGAAAAAATCTCAATGTAGCTGTAGGTCTTCTACCCAACACTCTGAGCTTCCCTTACAATGCACAGTAAATATTTTATTTTAAAAATCATGGTTTAAAGTTGGAATGGAAAAGTCACATTATAGGCTTTTTAATTTGGAGAGCAAAGTTTAACAAAAAACCAACACGTAGATGCTGAATTCAGTCAAATTCAGACTATTAAGGAAGCAGAGAATCTTAAGATTAAGAGCAATTAAACCTTGGAAGAGCTTTTAATGGCAGTAATACATTATCCTTTACAGTAAGCTTAAATTGAAAGCTTGCCTGATTTTATAAAAATTAACCTAATTCAGAGTTTTGTGGGCTAAACTGTCTATACTCGTCTGTAAAGGCATAAAAATTTATTTGTAGATTATATTGTTAAGTCCAATAGCTGTTCCTTAACCATTGCTTCTTTAGCGATAGCTGCCCTCTATAGTCTCTCCCTCTAACAGCCTACCTTAAAGATTCACAAAGCTGCTCTAGATTCTCAGTTAAGAGAAAAATTCATTTTATCTTCTGTTCATGGCAATGGTGGTTTTAAAGTAAAAGGATGATAAACTGTAATTTTTTTCAGTCCTGTAAAACCCACTGCGTTTCCATCAGCATACATACTTATTAAAAGCAAAACAGCAAAAATAACTCCCACTACAAGGAAAAGAAAAATAAAGTTTCTATAGAGGTGGTGGTTTTTTCCCCCTTTTATAAATCACCGGCTTCCTCTAGCAAAGTCTTATGCTTTCTGCTCTTTCTTTCCTAGGTATACATTCCACTTAGGATTGTAGTTTTCTTAGTTTCTCAGAAATAATAGTGTTATCAGTTCTCAGGTACACATATGGTGATCTTTGGAAAAAATATCATGGCACAATTAGAGATTCACAGAATATCGCAAGTTGGAAGGGACCCATAAGGATCATCGAGCCTAACTCCCTGCTCCTCGCAGGACTACCTAAAACTAAACCATATGACTAAGAGTGTCATTCAGATACTCCTTGAACTCTGACAGGCTTGGTGTCATGACCACTTCCCTGGGGAGCCTGTTCCAGTGACTGGCCACCCTCTCAGTGAAGAGCCTTTTCCTAATGTCCAATCTGAAATTCTCCTGATGCAGCTTGATTCCATTTCACCATGTCCTATTGCTGGCCACCAGAGAGAGGAGATCAGCACCTCCCCCTCTGCTGCCCCCCTTGAGGAAGTTGTAGACTGCTATGAGGTCACCCCTCAGACTTGACTTCTCCAAGCTGAGCAAACCAGGTGATCTCAGCTGCTCCTCTGCTCTCAAGACCTTTCATCATCTTGGTCACCCTCCTCTGGACACACTCTAGTAGTTTGATGTCCTTCTTATACTGAGGCACCCAAAACTGCACACAGCGCTCAAGGTGAGGCCACACCAGAGCAGAGCAGAGTGGGACAATCATCTCCCTCGACTGGCTGGCTATGCTGTGCTTGATGCACCCAAGGCCACTGTTGGCCCTTTTGGCTGCCAGGGCACACTGGTGACTTATATTCAACTTGCCGTCAACCCAGACTCCCAGATCTCTTTCCACAGGGCTGCTCTCCAGCCTCTCATCCCTCAGTTTGTATGCATAACCAGGATTACCCCTGAGGTAATTATGCTGAGGTTTCTTAAAACAAACAAACAAACAAAAAAACCCCACCAAATAAAAAATCCCAACAAACAAACCACAACTAAACAGGTGTCAAGACAGGAAGAACCATTCTCCTTTCTTCGTTTCTTCTGGCATCCATCTTCCTTACAGCTGTAACCTCTGGGCAGAGACAGGGCAGACAGGGAGGGCCAGCAGAGGTTGCCTCTTAGAGCCCAAAGGCTCTTGCACATGCTTTAACTTTCTGGGTCCTATTTCACAACCACATCTTCTCACTTGAGGAAACATAACATATCGCATTTCAAGGCGCATCAATGCAACTCCAAATCATACCACTGACAGTGCTTGCTAAGGCCACCAGGAACCTCCTCCGCACCCCTCCGTGCTGTTAATTACTGTCAGACTCCCTGGAGCAGGAAGTCAGGGTAAGCAGAGCAAAGGCCACAGCCTCAAGGACTTCCCCTGTTTTTCAGGACTGTCCTATCAGACAGCTGATAGGATCAATGCTTCCTAAGCCAGGGGCTAGACTGATCTTGTAACATAGACATCAATACTGATACAGATATAAAAATAACAAGAGCAAGGGTTAAAAACCAAACCAAACAAAAAAACCCCTAAAACTGTTTTAGGCAAAACTTCATCCTATAATCTTACAATCTCAAAAACCTGAAAAGGTGCAGCACCATTTTATAAATTCAGACAAGATGATAAATAATGCTTGTGCTCCCTCTGTTGGCTCTGTCCTCAAAACACAGCTCGGCATCAATGCCAGCATGAATAAAGTTTTTGAATAACCATAACAATATATATAGGGCTTCATCTGTTTCAAACATGAAACTTTGCCTTCATACAAAAAGGAGACACTGTATTTAACTACAATCAGAGTGAGAAAGCAGTTGTGAGAGGTAAAAAACAAAAGTTGGGATTTGTTTTGACCAAAATAAGAATTTCTGAAACACTCATCCTAAATGAAGTGCTGTAAAAGGTACATTAAAGATGATGAAGAGACACATACCTAAATAAAGGAAGTAAATAAGGCTTACTCTGAATTTGTATTTAAATCCAAAAGGAGAACCACCAGTAGCATGCAAACCTCACAGACAGCATCACCCATTTACACATCTCAGGTGTTGGGGAAGACTTGAGTGAATGGATGGACTTAGTTCCTCCACAGCACCTTGCTCTCACTCCCCGACCCCTTCATGTGCTCCTTGATGCCACCAGTAGCTGCCAAGAGCCCAGCTGGCAGTGCCTCTGACCCAGCCCCAGTACTAAGGCAGTTTCTGTCACTTTGGTGCTGAGAGGACCCTTCAGGCTCCACTCTCTACCTAGCCGATTTCTCAAGACTGAAATCTTCAAAAAGCTTAGAGAAAGATGAGGGTTTCTGTAGTGATAAGGGTAACGTAAAAGTGTGGCTACCTGGTACAATGCCAGGTTTTTAGAGGGACTCTTAGGAATTAATATTAGTTCAGCCATATTAATTGGATACAAGTTTTTTTAAGCTTAAAAAAAATTTAAAAATCCAAATCACTAGTAAGAGCAACATTTGATCTTGAGAAACTTTGAACTTGTCAGTCTTTCGTTCAATACTCAATGGAAGGAACAACAAAATTTGAGCACAACTCTTCATAAATTACTTAATATATCTTCAGGCTAGAGAAAACAGGTATTTGCACATACAACAAGATTATCTCTGCTCAGATAATATCCGAGTTTAACCTTACACTGCCTTTCAGGAAAATCTACATATTGTAATCTGCTTGGGATTTTTTTGGCAAATCAAGTTTACCTACATAGGTAAACCTGAACATTTAGATTTTAAATACTGCCTTCCTTCACAAGTTATCTTTTCCCATTAGCGTAAGAGCGGAAAACAAAGATTGTGAATTGTCATGTTATAAAGGGTTATCTGTCTCTTAAAACCATGTTTGATGTTTTCTATATGAAAATACTTCAAGTATGACATGTAAAATCTACATATTTTATTTAAATAAATCGGATCAGTTGACTACTATTAGTTGATTCTAATTACTTAAAAAATGAGCATTAATATCAAACTGAATTCAGTTTTTAAGTCCTAGACTTAGTGATACTTAATATTCATTCCTGTACTATGCAGGAGTCATTTCTCTTTCAGTGAATGCATAAATGCAGACTCTTTGTAAATCCATTCAGATCAAAATACATTCACATTCCCTGACTACACTGTGCCTAAAGACTCTCTTCAAAACTACTGAAAGAGTTATTTGATGAATCTTTTACTGTGTCCAGCTTCAGAAAAAGAGATGCTAGTCCCATGTAGACAGACACACTGAATCAAAATAAACTGTAAGCAGATGTCAGAAAAAAAAAAAAACCCCGAACTGTTGGCACTCAGGTAATATTGAGAAACAAGCAGCAGCATCGCCAATCAAAGTTTAAAAACACCATCACTTGGTTAAGAGGACCTGTCCCCTTTTCTATTTTATTAAAAACTGATTCATGTTATTCCTTAGGTACAACACATGATGCCACATGATGGCAGCAAACACCAAGCTTTAGCCTTACCTGCACAGGCTGTTCACCTCCTGTTCTAAAATCTTCAAGCTGCTGCACATGCCATGCAGCTACGCCGTAGGGCTCCTCAGCAGTCCTGCAGTCCAGGGGATTTGCACGTAACTGTTCTTTAAGCCACATTTGAGTCCTCACTGCTGGCTGTATGGGAGCTCCACTCACAGCCTGTTGTCCCAGAGTTGCATATCTCTGTCCGAAAGCTTCACAACTGGCTGCCGTAGGTTTGCATTCAGGTAAGGCACTGTAGGTCAAGTCTAAGGCATGTCTCCTACTTGAGGGATCTGAAACAAAATCATCTTTGCTGCACGTTTCAAATTTGTATTTGCAGTCCAGTAGAGAAGATCGTTTTTTCCCCGTGTCTTTGTCCTCAATTTTTAGCAACTCCATGCTATCATGCAAACAACTTGGCCCATTTGTCCTTAATTGTGGTGACACAGCTTTGTCTGTACTAGCCCTGGAGTCCACTGAATGACTACTACCATCTTGGCTGAAGGTATTTGGAGAGCTGAGTTTAGACAAGGAGGACCATTTTCTTACAGGTCTGGCATCTTTCATGTCAAGAGAATTGTCCAGGGCACCTGGATTTCTGCCTCCTCCTGACCGTACAAAGCTTGTACTCCATTTTGAGCCATCAGATTTGAAAGCTTCCCTGTGTTTGGAAAGTGAAGAGCTGGCATTAGACGGCATCACATGGGCAGTGGGAATAGAAACCAGTGATCGGCTGGGCTTAAACGAGGATGTGCCACTTGAAGTTGAATGATCTGGGAAGAGAGATTTATCATGTAAATAAGTACAATACAGAACTCATATTAACATCAGTACTCAGAGGGCAAAACATCAAATTCAAGGTGAAATGCAAATATAGGAGGAAACAGGTTTCTTGACAAAATAGGGTCTTCAAGATTATGAGAATGGAAACCTATTAAAGGAGGCAATTTTCAGATTAATTTTGCTCAGGCAGGTGCCATCATCACAAAAAGAGAACTGTACTAAGCAGTGACAACAGCAGCTCCAGATAAAATTCTCGGCTCTGAGCAAAAGGCAGCATTCATTCCCCAACTTCAAGGTGGCAGGCTGGATTTCTCCTCTACTCCACGTAATTTTAAGTAGCTTCTATATTACAAATCACAGACGTATCAAAATTCAGGAGCCCCACAACTGGTTCCTCTTCCATCACCCCTCTTTTCGTTTGTTAAAGGCAAAGCAATTCACTAAATGCACTTTGTAAAATGGCAGTGCTGGACATGAGCCAGTTTAATCATGGCCTCCTGCACAGAACTATCCATCCCTTTTGGATCTCACTGAATTCAGACTATGATTCCTGTGCTGGTTTTGGCTGGGAGTGAGTTAATTTCCTTCACAGTAGCCAGTAAAGGGCTATGTTTTTGATTTGTGCTCAAAATAGTGTTGATAACACAGGGATGTTCTCGTTATTGTTGAGCAGTGCTTACACAGAGTCAAGACCTTTGCTGCTTCTCACACCACCCCACCAGTGAATAGGTTGGGGGTGCACAAGAACTTGGGAGAGGACACAGCTGGGACAGCTGACCCCAAATGACCAAAGGATATCCCACACCATATGACATCATGATCATCATATAAAACTAGGGGGGAGGTTGATAGGGAGGCCGCTGCTTGGGAATGGTTGGGCATCAGTCAGTTGGTGCTGAGCAAATGTTTTCATTTGCATCACTTGTCTTTCTTGG